GACGCTGGGTTTAGGGTTTACGGTGCTTACGGTGCAGCCCCGTGGCGAGCGCGTCTGGCTGTGTCTCGGCCAAGTGGTCGATGTAAGCTGAAATCAGGGGGTATACATGTTGGCCCTATCAACATTCCCTTCTGAAGTGGAGAAAGGGTGCCGATACCGAAGAGGGGTTTCAGCCGGGAAAGTGTTCGACACAGGCTGAGATAAGGCTTTGGCGACTATGCAGGGGCTGAATCATTTGGGCAGCCAGATGTAACATCCTGATGACTTCCACTGCTCAAGGCTGCAAAGGCCAAGGCACCATGAAGCCCAGCAAAGGACGCCGCCATGCCCCTCTTCGGCCATGAAGGGCACCAGCAAAACACGCAAACTTTATGAGTTTCTATCTGGGACTCAAGGCTTGCGAGCTAGTTGCTCTACCCGGCTCTTGGATCAAGGCTTAGCTATGGCTCTCTGTTCTTCTTCGACCCGCCTTCGCCCTTGTTCAGTGTACACCTGAAACTTAACACCTTCCTTCCACAGCTCATAACCTCCCGGAGGAGGTCGCCTAACACCTCTCTCTCTCTCTCTCTCTCTCTCTCTCAAAGTTCATGTGAATTCCTTCCCGTGGCTTTCAGTTCATGAAATCATTCCATGTCACGACATTGCGGCATATCATTGATGTCATTGATGTCATTCAGTTCATTCATGTAATTCCCTGTGTTTCGTGTAGTCTTTCGCAAATGTTATTCCATGTCATTCCGTTCATTATATTCATTTCATTCTTTCACCTTCATTCATTGCGTCATCTCATTTCAGTTCATTTCGTTTCATGTCATGTCATGTCATTCCATTCATATCATTCATTCATTCGCTCCTTCATGGAATTGATTCATTTCAGTCATTCACGCCAGGCTCTCAATTTTCAGAGGCGGTTTGCCAGGGCACAGGCCGAGTGATAAAAACCAGTCAACCGCGAATCCAATGAAATCACACGGCTTCTGCGATGAAAGCCCGCGACTGACGACTTAGTGGTGGAATCATGCGCTTCTTCTTGGATGCCAGGCTCGAACATCCATTTTAAGATGTTGCAGCTAGTATCTGATCAGCTTTGGGTAAGCGAGGGTTTGAGGTGTCGCTATTTTATTTGCACATACTCAATAGCAACCGTGTTGAACCGCTGCTTGAAGATTCCTGGGGTAATCTTGTCTGAATCTTCAACGAAGAAACATTTGGGACCGACAACTGAAGAAGCACACAAAACCGCCCCAAGAATCTTCAAGTTTCGGTTAAGCATATGTGTGCCAGTTGTTCAATACCTGCCTAAACATGTAAGAAGTTGCGCAGTGTAGCAAAAGAGTCACGTGATCTGTAGCAGAAGAATCGCATGATTTCAAAAAGGGAAACGCCTCAAAGTCTAACAAACTCTTGAAGAAATTAGAAACAAATAGCTGGGGCTGTTGTTCGGAGAAGACGCCGATACAAGCAGAGCATGTAACTCATATTGGGCCGGGGGTCACCCCGCTACAAATGCGATTGGCACGTTTTGCTACATGTAGCATTGTTTTGCTACATGTAGCATTGTTTTGCTACATGTAGCATTGTTTGCTGACATATCTGAATAAACCTTAGCGGCAAGCATAATCTCTTACGGACGCCTGCACCGGTTGCCTGCTCTGTTCGTGGGCAAACCGGTTGCACCAGCAATGTAGAAGCATGAGTGAGCAGAGAGCAGAGGCTATATTGCGCAACATGAAGCAATGAAGGGCAGCTGGTGGGAGAGTCGAGGGCGCGGGTGCGAGAGTGTCCCATGAGCAGGCCTTCATAACCTGATGTGTTTGCACGACCATGCTGTTTTGGTAAGCATAGGACCGTGCATTGGTGTGGGGGTAGGAAGAAGGGTTTGGGTTTCTTGTAAACATGTGGGATAAAGGTTTATAAGCGTAAGCTTTTGCTGGCCCGGAGTACGGGATCCTCCATGATGCGAAATAGAGTTCAGGTGAATAGGGCTTCAAGGGTTTTGCCGGGCTTTGCTGCTGTGGCGTATAGGACAAGGAGAATTTCGCATTCAGGCTTATGAAGCGTCAAGCGCGGTGATATTGAGCAAGAAGTTGGCCTGCAAAGTTTACGGATTTCGGAGCCAGGTATCTAGTCGGCCCTCAGATTTTGGATAGAACATGTCATGTTGAGGGCGTCCAGCACCCGAGTAGTTTAGACCTAAATCTTGGGGGGGAAGAGCGGAGGCATATACATACACATATATAATCATATATATGTATATATGCATATCCACGTATAGGCATGCTTTTATATACATAGACACACACACACACACATATATATATATGTATATGTATACGTCTCTTTTTACGTGATACAAAAAAGGTCTTGAGGCTCCAGAGAATGCATCCAAATGAAACAGAATATGAAAATATTAATCATCCAACATCAACTGAAATAAACGATATTGATAACAAAAAATTATTATATTTAAAAATAAAGTTTATTCCAAAAGAAAATTTACGTTTAAATAGGTTGAATAAAGAAGATGAAAATGAATTTGATAATATATTTTCTAATACTATACAAGAATGGTTTAAAATATTGCCATGGAGTAAAAATGATGAATTAATACAACATGTAAAATACTTGTGTGAAAAAATAAAAAATTGTTGAAAAGGACAACACAAAAACACACAAAACAAAATGTGTTGTGAATGTGCAAACACCTATTAGTTAGGAAGTTTGATGATGTCTGGTTTAGCAACACATCGTGTAATATCATTAATATTTGATCCATTATCATTAGTTGTTGAATTATGTTCATTAATTTTTTTGTCGTGCATTTTATTTTGGTATAAAAAAATGTATGGCTTGGCTCGAGAAGTTTTGGGTGCATTCCGCCGCAAGCCCTGCTACGTGCCGGCTCTATGGGCTCTACTAAATCCTACAGCGGTGAGACAAAGGCTGCGGCACATGCCATGACTGCGAAGGTTGGGCAGGTGACAATCCAGAATGTTTTTCGGGCTCATCTCGCACAAGGGCGGTTGCTTGCAGGGGTGCAAGGATTCACGTGAAACGCTGGCCCGAAACCTATGTCACGTCGTATATCGGAACTGCTAGGTTCGAGAACCCCTAAGTTCCACGGCCGAGGCCCCTTTCTTCCTGCAGGCTTTGCCTACCTACCGAGCCCACCTCCCCCTGCTCGCATTGGTTTCAAAGCAACGCTCTTGGGTTTTTGGCCAGGCAGCGCGGAGGCTCATGTCATGAGGGAAAGCGATGTCCTCACATCTGCTCCACTCCCACAGAATCAACAACAAACTGGCCGTCGATGTCGCGGGTTTGGCCTTGTCGGGGCTAGGGCCAGGGAGGTGGGGTCAACGAAGACGGCTTAAGCAAAAACCTTCATGTATTCTCCTGGCTCCCCACGGTGAGAAATTACAAGCAACTCTCAACGTGGATTCGCCTGTTGAATCCCACCGTGCTCAAAGCTCCAAATGGGAACAACTCTGAGCGCTGTCTCCTCCACAAGTTTCTTAGGCGTGGTGTGCAGGGCCCAGGCTTGTGGGTTGCAAAAACAGGCACTCGATCCAGGGCATCCTTCTTGTGGATTTAAGGCTTGACTTTAGGGTTTAGGGTGCAAGCTCAAGGATTTTTTAAGTAAGCCCTATGAGCCCTATAAGCCCTATAAGCCCAAAAAGCCCTATAAGCTCTATGAGCCCTAAACAGCACGAAGGTCTCTGCAGGGGCACGGACGGCATTGCCGTTGATAGCGGACGTCATCATGCGAACGCTGCACTCGGATCTCCACTGCAACCATGAACCCCGAGATCACAAGGCCCTGCTGCAATAGATCGCAATGGGCCAATATATCCCAACATGTATCCCGACAATACAATCCTCATTCAAAGGCGTACCCCTATGGTAGGAAACCCAGAGATAATCGCGCAGTGCTATGCATCCCGAAGCCAAAGCCAACAGACGTGTGCGCTCGAGCCAAAACTCCCAGGGCGACACCTAGCCCTTGTTTGGGGAAAAGTCAAGGGGGCTTCGTTAGGTAGGGCCTCAGCGGGTGGGGGCGATTGGCTTTCTGAGGGCTTTCTGAGGGCCAGAACTCGGCGAAGTCCAGGGTAGAGGCCAGAAGTGAAACTCTACATGTTGCTGAAGCCTTTTGAGTCTGGCAGGCAGGCATTTCGGATGCAGTGCCTTTGGCACACACGATGGCCCTGCTAGAAGTTCTCGCGGGCTTCGCAGGACGACCAGAGGCAGTCTTGCGGTAGAACTTGAACCCTAAACCCTGACAAACTTCAGGGTTTAAGGTTCCGAGATGCATCGAGTCTCACTCTCGGACACTCCGCGCAAGGTCGTTTGAAGGAAGGGGCTTCAAAGAAGCGCCCCCGCCCCCTCTCTTGTGATTCCAAGCTTCCCCCAACCCTGAGCCCGGAAGTTCCCTGGTTCCCAGCAGAGCCGCAGTTCTATGCAGTTCTGTTTCCCAAAATTCCGAAACCTGCGCAGAATGTCCCAGATGAGAGAGCCAACCGGGCTCACCTGATCCCTTAAGGACCAGGACCAGAGACGGCCTGTGCGGCGCACTCCAACGCTTGCTTTGTCAGGGTGTTTCCTGGGCTCCTGGGTCAGTTCCGTGGTGTGAGAAGAGCTCGAAGCTCGCCCTCGTGCCCTCCGGAGCCACCTAACTACCCCTGCTGAACTACATACTACCTTTTATGATGTTTGCTTGCAGCCATCCGGGAAAGAGGCCTAAAAATCGTGCATTTTTGCATGTCAGGCGCCCGAAGTGCTTTCAAAGAGAAGGGGGCCAAGATGCCAAGATGCCTGGAATGCGCAAGGGGCTCATGAAAACTTGCTTTAAGTCCAAATCGTATATTAACAAAAGCTCAACAACACATTACGTAGACACACTGCCACCCATACCCTTCCTTTGCTGTGCTGCAGACCCTCTCAGGCATGAAAAGCATAAAGCGCCATCTCAGCTGGAAGCTGAAAGGGCCTGGCCACTGCCCCGCTCACTCTTGCTCCACGTTGTCGATGCCTTGTGGTGCTGAGCCATCTAAACCCTGAATTTCAAAGTTCTTTTTTTCAACCCAGACTCGGAGCATCAGCTGGGACCACCAATCCCCACATTTGCACGGGCAAGCAGCGGAGAAACCCTAAACCCTATACCGAAAATCCGTAACCCTCAACTCGTTGGGGGCTTCGAAGCAGAGTTTGAGGTTTTGATGTCGACCAGAGCCTTGGACCTCTGCACAGAGCTTACCCTGACGACATCATCCTGAACTCTGGATCCTTACACCGAAGTTTCCTGCCAAGATCACACCCTTTCGGAACCCCCAGGGTTTAGGGTTTTCGGTTTAGGGTTTAGGGTTTAAACCAAACCAACCACCCCACAGCAAAGATCCCAGATAACAACTGGCAGAAAAAATGCTCTTCAACTCTCCTGCGACTTAGCAGCTGAGGACAGGCTCCCACGCACGGCCGTTTGAAGGAGAGTCTGCCAGGACGGAAGAAGCAAGAGATTCAGAGCCCTATTTTCGGTAGTGCTCATACTATATAGACATACATATATACACATGTGTGTATCTACATATATGTGTGTATGTACATATGTAGATATGTGCATATCTATTGTGTTGGGCGTCCTTTTGAGGGTACTAGTCGTACAAATCTACGCTGTCCCACCTTCATATCATCAACGACACTCGAGTCTCGTAGTGCTAGTGATACAAGCCCTACTTCATATGGGAAATCTTCTGCGAGTCTGGTGGCCGGGTTTCTGTGGATCAAGGTTGCGGGGATTTCGTGGACTGGAAGCTTGAAGGCCTCAAGGCTATTTGGGGATACATAGTTTGTATGGATACCTCGGGGTTTCCGAAGATGAGGGTCACACCTGAATATAGCAGAATCCTAATTCAACCCTCAGGCCGGGATCTGCTGCATGGCTGGAGGCCTTTGCAGCCGCAGGGTTTGGAGTTCTGGGTGGTTGGGTGATTTCGCGAGACATCTGAAATCCCTGGGCAGAACAAAGACCCAAAACACCCACACCCTAAACCTAAACCCCAGACCTCCCTGAGCTTGGGGTGCGGTTTACCCTGAGCCCTCCCAAGGCCCAGGACACTGAAGACCTTAGACAACAAACGAAACCCTTACCCCCTCCAGCCCCGCGCCGCCGAAAAAGCAATCATTATGATACCTTCATGACATGCAACAGCTAGTTATGTATGTGTATACCGTTATACCTAAAAATAAAATATCTATATATGTTTCTGCATGTGCAGGGTTAAAGATATGTACATATCTATATACGTGTAGATACGGATACTATATTAATATCTGTATATACATATACACATGGAGATGCGCTCAAGGCCCTGAGCCTGGCAGTTCCTCCTCCACAACATCCACCATGCCAGGCACCGTATCTCCTGTGGCTGGGTGATGGCTTGAGGGTCCGGCTGGACATATGTTCGCTCCCGCATAGCTGGGCACAAGCCCGCTACAGGGATGTCCGCGTGTGAGGCCATGAAGGGGGATCGTGGTGAGCTAATATAGGCGCCTGAATGAATAGAATGGGGTTTTGGGGGTTATTAGAATAGAAACAAAGGGACCAAAAGGGAACACTAGTAGTAATTATTCCGACCCCTTTCTGAAACAGCTGGAGCACGGCATTGTGAGCCCTGGCCAAACCATCTTTGGCTTGCAGCCCAGTTCTGTTGCCGGTCCTGGTGGGCCATGGTAGCTGAGAGGTGGGCTCCTGACGCGAGCATGCTGCCCAAGGCCTCTCTCTCTCTCTCGCGCTCCCGGTACGTTACACTGTACATCCTTGCCCTCCCTCTCCCCTCAGGAAGTTGCAATGCTTGGCGCGCAGGAAGCACGTGCAGGAACTCCAAGCACACGCTCTGACGGTGCGCGGTTCTTAGGACTCCAGGGTCTGAGGCTGAGGCGACAACAGGGGGACCCGAGCTCAGAAACCCTCCTCAATCCCACATGTGGCCGTCTATCCTAGCTCCAGAGCCGTCTCGGAAGGTCTCTGCTGAGCAGAGTAAGACAAAGTAGACTCCACCCGAACACCCAAGACAAACCAATTGAATCCCTTCCCCCCTAATATTCTCCCCCCACTTCCGGTAAAGAAAAAAAGGAAGTTTAGTATTTGGGGGGGGGGTTCTTGTTGTTGTTGTTGTCCGATTGTTGGCTCAGTTATCGAGCAGGTTTCAAGGCTTAGGGCTACTAGGTTTCAGGCTTCCCCCGCCCGTAGTCCTGTAGAGATTTTAAAGGGGCGACTGCCGGACGGGAAAGTTAGAGGTGTATCAGTCAGAGGGGGGAAGGGAAGTCTAACCCAGAAGCTCAGATCCTCAATCTGAACCGGTCCTGTTCGGTGGCGATGACTGCTTGCCGCTGTCAGGGCTTGGAACGATGCCCTGACGAATCAGGCCATGAGTGGTTTAAAAGGGTTTAGGGTTGAGGGGTTTGGCTTCAAGTCAAAGACGCTTTGAGCTGAGCTTCAGAGATTTCAATCCCTAAGCCCTAAACCTAAACCCTAAGCCCCGGGCCTCGAGGCTATGTCTATGAACCCTTTGGCCCTTCATGGCTCGGGATGGCCTGATGGACCCAAGGGCCCCCAACCCTCTATGGGCCACCTATAACCGGTGCAGGGTTTGTAGTTTGAATAACAAACCCTTCCAGCTATCCCCACGCTCCATGCCGTTTCGACACGCGCCTTGAGCGGCGAGCTGTCCTGCAGAGGCGGCGGTGCGGAATGCCTCCGCGGTTGCGGCTTCTCGTCCGCTCTCGCAAGAGTCTTTAGCTGGCTGAGCCACTCTGCCAGGATGTGCGCTATGAGCAGCGTTAAAGACAACTGCGCAAGAGCTAACCGCCAGATTTTGCAAACTGAAGCAATGTTTTGCACCACACACGCATACCAGTCATCATGCGCTAGGGCTTCGGGTTCCGACACCGATGGTAAGGCTTAAAGGTTGAGGGTAGTCCGAGGAACTGAAACCAGCAAGCAAAGCTACTGTGGCTTTTGGCAGGGGTCTCTTTACCCCCCCCCCCCCCTAATTCCCTGTTCCATTGCAACTCCCCAAGTCACTGAGACACCGACCTGCCCTAACCTGAGTCCGAATCGTCGAAGACAACCGAAGCCGACTCCAACATCTGTATGTATACTTATATTATCTGAGCGTATAGTATATATTATAGGATCGTAGGAGACAAATGTACATATGAGTATATATATATATACATATGCATATGAAACAATATGCATATGTATATACATATATACACGTACATGCCCGCAACTTCAAACTGGGCACTGCTCGATATTGCTCAGGCGGCTGAGGACGCTGAGGCCACGGGGCAGCTGCCTCAAATGCACTTTTGGGGCCCGGATTCAACTCTTCCGAAGGGTTTGGTTTAGGCCCTCTTTCACTTGGAGCCCGAGCAAAAATCACAACTCTAGTTGTTTCTGCGGAATTTTAGTACCAAAAACTGGAAATTAGTCCAAAGTGCCCCTAAGACCCCCTGAACCTTATACTTCGTAGGTCGGGCCCGAGTCGGACTCAGCGCCCAGCTTCTTACCGGCGCCACTCGCACCAGACAGGCTCTCTGAACGAGGCCCTGTATTCCTTGGGTTCAGTTGTTGAGCCTTGTGTGCTTGAGGTCTCTCTTGCAGCAGACGTATGCAAGCGAACGAGTTGCAAGCTCAGGATTTCGGGTGTCGGTGCAGGGCTTGCGGATCTACAGATCAAGGTCGTCGAACAAGTTATCCGTCTGTGGATCTTCCACGCCCAAATCCCTACAAGCCTTAGAAAAGCCTTCACAAAAACGTCCCTGTCCCTCAAACTGCACTCCCCCCAACCCTAAACCCCAACAAGGCCAGCTTCGACTGCTTCTGAACCAGAAGCCCTCGGACGATGCTGGACATTCGCCTGCCGCATCGTTCTGAATTAGGGTCCATCAGGTGTCATTCTTCTTAATGGAAGGTATATTCTACGGGATATTTGTGCTCTGAGCAGGGGCCTGCGCGTGTCTGCTGCAAAGCCCCGCTGGCGCACGCACGATCCAACATGCTCTCTGACCTATTCTGTACGAACAATGCCAAGCCGGGCAGTTCCAAAGCCCTGCGCGGCAATCCGAAACCCCAAACCCTAAACCCTTTTGAGCAACGGACTTTGGGGGCTGTCGGCAAACATGCAACTTCTCAGAAGTCACATCACGCAATCTGACGCAAACTGTGCTATATGGCGCGTGCATCACGAGGCATGAACTAAACCCTAAACCCTGAACCCTAAACCCTAAATGGTCCATTGCCTGAACTAAACTTGACCAGAGTTCAGGTTTGCAGACGCTACAATGAAGACCCCGGACTAAAATGCAGGGAACCGCAAAGGGTAAGACCCCAAAAAAACAAAACCTAACAAAGCACCGAATCCCAAACCCGAAGATACCCACAAGGTCCCACAAGCCTCAAGCCCTACTTGAAGGGAACCTATGTCATAACCTTTTTCAAGGTACTTATGACCCTACTTGTAACACTACTTACAATTAAGGTACTTATATAACCCTGCTTACAATTAAGGTACTTATAACCCTACTTACCTTCTTACAATTAAGGTACTTATATAACCCTGCTTAGAATTAAGGTACTTATAACCCTACTTACAACTACCCATGATCCTTCAAGTCTCGGCCCACCTCCCGGCTGAGTAGGTCCGTTGCTTCTCCGGACGAGAGTGCTTGGTGCTCATCTGCGGAGCTGCCTGCGGGGCTCTGTTGCAGGGGGTTTAGGGTTTAGGGTTTAGGGTTTAGAAAACAAAGCTACTGTGGTACACTCCGACTCAGGTATGTAAAGCAGCCACAATGCAAGCTGAGCAGATGGATTTGTTTCCGACATCTTGACCCACCCGACGCGACACCAAGAAAACCCTCCCCCAAACGACTTGTACGACTTGATTCGGCCTGTTGCTGCTTGACGCTGTACCAGAGGTACTTGCCTCACAACTCGAGCTCATGACACTTGGTGTCTCAACTGAGGTCTTGGAACCACATGCTGATCCCATTGAAGGGACCTGGCAAGGATGTGCTTCTGGATCCGGATTACGGGGTTTCCCCCCAAGGTCCCCCTGTCTTCCCCAGTGCCCCGGGCTGTTGGCGGCCGCTTCGGCCCGCTTGCGGCAGCGGCAGCAGGCCGAACACCAGGCATCCGAAGCACGCTTCCTGGCCCAAGGATTGCGCGGGCTTGGACTTTATGGGCTTTATAGGGCCTTCCGTCTCGAAAGGAAAGAGGGGGGGGGGAAGCGTTTAAGTGCTTAACGCTTCCTTTCTTCCTGCCTTTCTGCCTTCCCTCCAGCCGACAACATTTCTTTCGCTATGGCCCTTTGGATTGGGGCGGAGGGCTTCATAAGAGGACTGGCTATACGCCTTGGGGGGGTCTCGGATGAAAGGCAACTCACGCGAGGCCTGCATCTTGTAACAGGGGCTTCGAGGTTTCAGGGGAGAGTGAGCTGGACGAGGCCACGCTTGCGAAAAGAGGTGTGTGGGTCTAGAGATGTGTAACAGTGCAGAGTCTACGGTACGAAGGTCAAAAGGAGCCCTTCTGGAAATCAAGTGCTCTAGGAGTATCTCATAGTATCTCACAGTATCTCGCTTGAAGTTGAAGGACCATTTTTGGGGTCAGGTATTGGGACCCTTGCAGTATTGACTCTAGCTATGGTGGCCCCTTTGTTTTGAGCAGTGGAGCCACTCAAGGCATGTCTTGCGCAGTAAAGCGTAACTCCCCAGAAAACCTTCGAGCGCACCCAACATCCCGGGCCCCACTGCCTGACGCTGTGGGCGAAAGCAATGCGGGAACGTTCGCGCTGAAAGCTGCGATAACGGTTGTGGTACGCCTGGGCGTAGCCTGGTCCAGGCCGATCACTACAGCAAGACCGAAGCCCGAAGCTTCAGCAGCTTTGGAAAGGGTGGCTAGTCCATGATCCCAACTCCTAACTGCACAAACAGAAGGGCAAAAGGGAAAAATCCAGAGCCCCACGCGGCCAAGCAGAGGGTCGTGCACAGCACCATGCCAGCCCCGCTACACCAATGGTCCGGGCAGCTTTCTGAAAGAATGCCGATGAAGATGTTCCTTGGCAGTTCCGCTGTTTAGCACGTGGCCCATCCTTGAGATTATCATATGAATACTGACATCAAGGGAACTGCCCGAACAGAAACTGGGGCATGAGGCAGGTGATCTTAGAAGTATGTCTAAGAAGTCTGTTCAGGGCTACAAGCAGTTTTGCAAATGCTCCATTGCGCCCTAAGCGGCATCATCACCACGGTCATCAGGAGGCCGGAAATCATGCCAAGTACGGCCGCCAAGTCCTTCTTGGTGTCCTTCCGTGTCGAAGGCTTTCCCCGATGTATGCGCTTGCGCGAGCCTCGGACCTAGTTTTGCATCACTCAATAGAGTCTTCGCATTGCAAGAAGCGCAACAATTGTGAAATTACAGGGGCTCTTGAACTTGTAGTTGAAAGTGGTCATGAACAACTTGGGTCTAAGGTGATCACTGCCATTATTCCCATTGCGCTAGACTGGCGTCCCTCAGCCCTTCTTCACCCAACTCCTGCGTGTTCCACACAGAATGCTCGAGGTCACTCAAGAAGCCGAGGCGATAGATCACATAGAACGACTCCAGAACTCTCTCCTTTGCACACGCGCTGGCTTGACATTGGCGTTCAGGGCTTGCATCAGACAAGCCATTGTGGACGTTCAGTGTTTCCACACAAAAGCCCTTAAACCTTGAACTCGAGACTGCCGACTCTAAACTGGGTCTTCTTTCTTTTGGAATAATACGCGGATCGCTTTATCAGGGTTGATGGAACCCCAAAAAACACCGAAAGCCTCCAGGAAGAGTCCTGGCTTGAGGTAGTGTAAGAGGGCTTGCGGCATCATCGTTCCCAAGTCTGCCCCTCCAGACTTTTGTCAACAAGGAGCTCTCTGACTGGAGAAAAAAGTGCAAGCAACTCGCCTCACCTCCTTATAAGAGGGTTGCAAAGCACAGGCCAAGCCTCGGAAGACTAGCTCCTCAACCCGAACCCTCAACCCTTTCCAGGGGGTCTACGGGACTTGGGCTTCCCGAAACCCCCCCCCGGTCCGAGGAACCGCCCCAGTGAGTCCGAGCGCGATGTACGCGTTGGTGAAGGCACAGCATGCAACCAACCTTGGCCAGACGGCCTTTTCTGTGTAGATGGGCTATGCTTCGAAACCTTTGAACTTCGAGGCCCCAAACCCTACGTAAACCCACAAACGCAACCATTGGCGCCCTGGCTGAGGAACGACTCGACTTTGGACCCACCGAGCTCTAAACGCTTTTGGGTTAGGGCTTCTTTTCACCCTTTAGGGCTTATATTACCTCTTGGGGCTTGGGGTTTAGGACCCCAATGCTGCAAAGGAGCAGGATTGCAGCGAACATCCGCGACGAGATCCTGGACATGGATAGGTTCTGTGGTCGTTCTTCGTAAGGAGTTATGGGAACTGAGTGCCCTGAGCCCTGCGCTACTGTACTCAGAAGCAAGGAGTCGCTCACAAAGCCCTGAGACTGCGGCAGGGAGGGCCCCAAGCACAGACAGCCCAACACTCCGGGTTTGCGGGTTTAGGGTTTCGTGGTTTAGGAATGCATGCCTTCGATCGTACTAGGACCCTTTTTCAAGCTCGTAAAGGGCTTCTCCTGTTAGGAAGAACATGTATATCCATCCAAGCCGCAGCGCCCGCTCGATTGGCAGCACCTGCTGCCATAAGTTAAACCGGGCCGGGGGGACTGGGATCTATTTCTCAGGGGTCAGTGAAGTATAGAGTTCTAAAGGGAGTTCAAGGGGGGAGATGTAGTAGGTACCTACCCCCCAATGAACCCCCCCTGCCTTAAGAACCCGAAAAGTAAATATGGAAAAAAATAATGTTTGGCTCTGATTCGTAAACCCCCCCGCTAAAAAAATCAATGGAATGGTAGGGTAGGAATCTTAACCCCTTTCCATTTACAAAGTGTTCTGGTGTTTAGCTTTGGCACTCGGCCCTGAAGCTGATCTTTTTTTGCTTTGGGGGGGGGGGGGGGGTTTGGGGGTGTGGGGGGAGAGGAACTGTTCATTCTCCTTCTTCCGAGCGAGTTTTGTTATCAACTCGCTCTGTTGCGAGATTGCGATCCACCTTACCCATTGGAACGCAACCTTTGTGTTCCATGCTTGGTAGTTGGGACCAGAGTTTTTCAGTTTCAGCAAGAGATGTGCTCAGGCTGCACATCCAAGCCAAGCAACTGAAGCAAGGCTCAAGGCTCAAAAGGTTTCGGGTCTTAGGGCGATTCAGGGGTCGAAGCCCTGTCGAAGTTCTTGTCCCGATACCCCTAGCAAATCCCAAGGGCGGAAGCCCTGTGATCCTGAACCTCGGATGCTGAGAAGCCCCTCTTGAACCGATCGCAAGTGGCTGGCCGAGGGGGTTTTGCAGCTCAGGGAGGCCCTCATCCTTAAGAAACATCCTCACAACACCAAGCTCGGGTCTCGTGGCAAAGTTTCGCTTCTTTTCATGATGGGGTGTCCCTAAGCCTTGGCCAACCACCAGAGCAGAGGGAGTGCGCAGATGGGTTGTGCGCCCTGCCTTCTCGCCCACCCATTGGTAGCCCCGAAAGGTCGTGAGGACGTGGCCCCAGCGCAGTAGCACCGTGAAGGCCAAGAGGATACCTGCAGAATTCAATCCCAGCAATGGTGCAGGCAACGCAAGGGATCGCAATGTCATGCGTCGACTATTGCGATGACAGGAAGTATTAGTAATACTTCCTGTCATCGCAATAGTCGACGCATGACCAAACAATACAAGGATACAGGTACAGTCTCAGTAGAGGCATAAGTAGAGGTAGAAGTAGTCCTCATCGGTGGAGTGTCAGGATATGTCAGGATGAGTTGTGGGAGTGGTGGCCTTGGAGATGAATACCTGAAGTGCTCAACCGTCAACTTCACGGAACGCAAGTCCTCCGAAGAATGGATCCAAATACCCGCCAAGAGGATAGGGAAACATGGGCCGGAGCGCTAAACTCCGTGGACGGCGCCGTCCACTGCTGACGTTCGTAGGCCAAGTCTAGGATGACGACGTAGCCTGTGCATCTTCGGGGTTCCCGGGAGTTTGGAGAGTTTCACACGATCCAGGAGAGGGCTGACCTCCTTTGCCCGGCTCTGCTCCCATGCTCCGAGAGTGGTGACCGACATTCTCGGGTTACTTACCATGACTAATGACCTACTCCTCGTTGATGCAAGCTCTGCGAGCTGTCGCCTTGGAGCAGCTATACCAAAATGCTCAGCGGCGGCACAGCTACGAACATCCATCCGACACTCGAGTCGAGAGACCCCTCCAGCCAAGTAGCCAAGTGCGCTGAAAACGATGCTACATAAGACGATAAAGCTTGAGGCCCACGCATCAAGTCCCTCTCACCCCACAAAGCTCTCAGCTTTGGCAACTCTAGCTCTCCAGAGCAAGGAGCTAACGCCCATGCGCACCCAGGCGACGTAGTTGGCTGCCTTGAGTTGCGGTGTTCTGCGGGTGGAAGCCAGTGGAAGCCTACGGCCACAACCGAAGCCCCGAAAGCGTAGAGCATAAGTAGCAAGTTCAATCAAGCTGAGGATTGGGCTCAAGAGGGCCGGGGCTTGAACGTAAGCTTGCGAGGGGTGTGAATGGAACCCTTTTCATCCAACAGACTCTGAACACCTTGGGTGCTTGCAAGGGCTTGGAGGGTTGCTGTTAGGTGAGATTAGCCAGGTGTCCCATGGTAAGAACAAGCCAAACAATAATAGCTAGTCATAACAACTGTAGTAAGAATGACCCTAAACCCTGAGCCCTAAACCCGAAGCCCCATGAAGAGAAGCATTGCCAAGAAGAAAGGGAACAACCAAAAAAACGACGCTGCGGTCCGAGGTGCTGTCATGAAGTGCTGGCGCAGCCTCGGTCGTGCTCAGCCCCACTGTTTTGGGTTTCGGGTTTAAGGGTTTAGGGTTTAAGTCGCGGAAGGCAACAGCAACACAGAAAGCTAGATATCTACTAGCCTTCCAAGCTCGTATATAAAATCCTCAGGCCGCTACACACTTCAGCAAACCCCAACACCTAGTTGAGACTCAAACAGTACATGAGGCAGGTATGCACAGCGCAAGGACTGTCCACCCAAGTTACGAAACATCCTCTGCCCAACTGCTCGACAAGATCTGATCTTAAGCCTCAACACCTTGAGGCAAATGCCTACGAGTTGAGGGTTTCAGCTCTCGGGCTTGGGACAGCAGAAGGGAACACCTAAACAACCGATTAGGTCCTCGGCAGTGTTCAACCTTTAGCGCACAGCCTCATGCTGAAAGCGTAACCATGGGACCTGAGCAGCGAGGCCCTTAAGGGCTTTACAGTCAGAGGTGCTTTCGGCCAGGACTGGAGAGGAGAATGACGTAACTTGGGGACTCGGTGCACATATGGGGCCTAGGGCCCCAGACAAGGCCAGGGCGCTTTCCAAGCAGGAACATGCCCTGCAGTGAAAACAGCTCCTTCAGGAAGTTCAGAGATACCTTGGGCTTGAGGCTTGCAGGTTAAACGTTGCGCAGGTCTCCTCAACCGCAATCCACCCAAGACATCCATGTGCCCCCAGCCCCGGCCCGCACCCGCCACAACAGCTCAGATGCCAGAACAGCGCAGATGCCCAAGACCACGTACCTGTCACTGGTGATCTTTCCTTCAGCGTTCCTTGGCTCAGAGAGCTTTGCAAGCACAGGTCCCATCGCTAGCTCACACTGCAAAAGCACTTTTTCTATGAGTTGGGAGCATTGCTTTGAAGACGCCTTGAGGAGATGGCTACGGCGGTCCCGCACAAGCCATATAACGTCTGTCCAAGACCTCTAAACCACCGCAGCTGCAGGCTGCCATGCCCACCAGTCCTGCCACCACTACGACGCCCGCACCCGACACTAAGACCACCACATACACTGCCGAGCGTCTCCTGTGCCCCTTGCAGGAAAAGTGTGATGATCGCGAACAGCACCCTGAGATGCTGCAGTCATGCTTGTCACCCTGTGGCTTCTTTGTAGGTAAGAGCCCTCTCCCTGTTTCACTCGCTCGTGCTTGGAGAAAGAAGCCGCATGCTCATGTGCGGCATGAGGCCAAGGTCTGCGAAGTTGGGAGTTTGTGAGCCCAAAACGGTTTCTGTGAACGTTCTCTGCCTGCCCTCAATCATCACCCAGTGGCGCCAAGCTGACGCTAACGCAGCTGTCAATGAAGGCGCCTCGCCAGGCCTGTCTTATTCAAGGCGCTTGGGATAACTTTCTGAATATTGCCGGTTCCTCGAAGCCGAGATAAACAAACTGGTAGCTCCAGGCTTTACGTCGCGATTTGGGATTCTGAAGAAGGGGATTCTGCCTTGAATTCGCTGTTGGGCCTGACTCTTTCATGAGTTTTGCCTGACCAAGTCGGCAGGCGTGAAAGCCTCCTGGCTGTTTTTTTGCCACCCGCCAAGCAGCTCAACAACACTGGGATTTAAGACGTAGAGTTCAACACTTGTGCATGGCTACTGGCTAAGCAGGCACCAGCTTGCTTTCAGTCTCACATGAAACGATTAGGGTTTGGGAGTTGTTTGGAGGGACTTCGGCATTCGCAGAAACTTAAATGGATTGGATGTGCCTGGTGCCAGCCCAAGCTGATGATCGCCTGTCAGAAACACAGGCGCTTCTTCAAAAGCCCTGACAACTCGTAGTTTGGTTTAGCAAGCAGTGGTCATGTAACTCCGAAGCTCCAAACCCGAACAGCCTCACTCTCTCCCTGCAGGTTCAGAGAAACAACTCGGTCTTTGAGGGCATACGACGCGCACCTGAAAAACGACTGTCAACGTCAAAATAGTCCATTGATCCTATCATCGCATCCGCGACTAGGTTCTAAGCTTCCGGGCACATTGACCGTGGCATGCAAGAACAACAGGAAGCCCCAGGCCAGAAGCTCGAAACCCTCTTCCAAGAGCGATAGACCCACAACCCTTCCGCCACATGCATCCATCGATGGAAGGCCAGGCACGATGCAGCCATGCAAACGAAGTGGTCAGACACCCCCGAATCGAAGATGCAAGGACAAACGCCTTCATAGCCCCCTTCATCCCGCTGCACCCACACCACCATGCCTGGCACCCTTCGAAGTTGAAGATGTCTTCATTGCTCGAGTGTGCAATCGCCTCAGATGCAGTTGGCAAGGAGGCTTCGGATTCTTGGGGGGAGTCAAGGGTTCTCGAAAGCACCCGCCACGCTGCCTCAGCTTCACATCTCATAGAAGCCGAAAGCTCAACCCGAGGGAAGGGCCAAAAAGAAGGCCCACACTCAGGGCTGGCCAGAAGCAGAAGCTATGCCTTTAGGGCAAGGGATGCGGCCAAGGGTACGAGAGTGCCACACGCCCAACACTCAAAGGTGCACTCCCACTGAAGTCTGCTTCAACGCATCGAAGAGCTTCACAGTCGGACTTCGGTGGCCGCTGCGCCCTCGCCCTGCCCGCTTGGGGCAGGCGGCCTTCGACCCAGCGATGCTATTTGCAAAAGCTTGCCTCGAGCATCTCCGCGGCAGTACACCCCGACAAAGTCATCGTTCCCAAGGGGAGAGCGCATTGCAAGGTTGTGGACTCCAGAGAGCCAGAGAGCCAGAGAGAGGGAGGGCCAGAGGGAGGCAGGGAGAGCCAGCACCCTAAACTTGAAGCCCTGTAGCTGCAGCAAGGCAGCCCTGATAATGGCTGAGCTTATCGTCATTCTAGTCAATTGAGCGCATGAATGACACGGGGCAGCTTCGAGGGGGATGTGGCACTCTTTGTATCCCAAAGAGTGCAATGTGACCAAACACGGCCTACTACTCCATACGCTCATGGCAAGACCTCCAGGGTGTCAGTCCGAGAAGGGAAGCCTGAAACCCTCTACATCCCCAAATTCCAAGCTTCCAAGGCACATACATCACGTACTCGTTGTTCAGCACATCTGGCAGCAGGCACTGGAGCACGCGCGCCGGGGCAATGAACGTCCTCGAGACGAAGAGGCCAAGGCCAAGGGGGGACTTCTGAAGGGCTTGTAGGACCGAACTTTTTGCCCCAGGGTTGTCACACAGAGATGAAATAAAGCTTCTGGGGTGTAACTCAGATGAGGGAACCGATCCCCCCAAAAGGGTAAAAAGAGTATCCCAGAAGCACGGCTCATCTTCTACAGCAGCACGCGTGAGTTCGACTGAACAAGTTCACCCAGTAAACTCCCAGTCTTAACTCCACGTTTCAGGGTACAGGGCTAAAGTGAAACCCCAAAAGTCATATCGGACCCAAAAGAAGGGGTGTAAGGGGAACCCCATCCGTATACTAAGCCCTCATCTGCCTTCGACCTCAGACTTGTAAAGTGATGATGACGCCCTACAGCTTTGAGCTGGCTCCACGAAACCCACAACCATCTGTCCTGTTGTTCGTCAAGGAATCCATCTGTAGTGCCGCCGCAGACCGCTTGCAGCAAGAGCCTTGGAAAGATCTTGCAAGCTTTGGCTTGGCTGTGTGTCTGGGTGCGTGACTGCCGCGCACGACGCCTTGCGCCATCAGGCATCTCAGCCCAGCATTAGTTCCTAACTCTCACCACGCCTCACGGTATGTACGATTTCTGGCTTCCACTCTCACGCTCGGCACGCAGAAAAGGCTGCGCCACATCCGACCCACCTGACACTAACACGTCAACACGTGAATCACAAACTTTAGCTGATAAGACCATCGTAGGGCGAAGTGTTAAAGTACACTGCCAGCCTCAGCAAACCCACGGCACAGACCGCATCTACAATTGAGCACCCTTATCAGCCACAACGTCTCGTACGAAAAACTACGTGAACCTTCGGCAAGCGAGGTTATCCAAAGGTGTACACGCCTGCAAGCACCAGCAACACTGATAACTAGAAGAACATAGAATAACATTGACTGTCTAATAATGGTCGCAACAACAGCCGCTGCCCTCGTCAGCTCGGCATCATCACCACGTAGCAGCAGTATTTGTGCCAGCATCGTCGACATAGTAGGGGAACTTTACACCCTTTGCCACTCTCAGGGCTTCAGGGCTTCAGGGCCCTACATCAAAAAGCCGTGCATACCAATGTCGGCCGGGGTGCAGCGATCCGCTGCCCTGTCCTCAACCATCTGGGTGTGCGTCGTCCGTGATCGAGACCTGGGCTCGGCGCGGCTTTGGGTTTTCGGTAGTTTGGGGTTCAGGGTCAGAAGCAGGCAGATGCAAGCAGACTCATCCTAAACCACAAGCAGGCCTGACGAGTATGCTTAGAACATTGTTTTTGGTCTTGGGCTGGGACCCATCTGGGTGCAAACGCTGCAAAAGAATTCAATCGCAGGCTTTGGGGTCATGCACACTCCAAGACTGGCGTTGGGACAGTAGAAGCTCCCTTCCCCACTGCAGCCCCCAGAACACCGATTCATAAACTAGTTAAATACGCCATAGCTTATGAACCACACGAACACCCTCAAATCTGCAATGCCCAACAGGGTGCCAGTGGTTGCTCCGTTGGTTCTTGTCCTAGGCGCTCGGCCAAGGTGCTGAGCTCAGGACTTAATCCCCTCCCCCCAATACTAACCAATATTAAATATCCCCCAGTATAGTTATATTACAGTATTTTTGGTTTTTTTTTGATATTAGGGTAATTTTGGGGGGAGGGGATTACAAGAGGCCTCATGACCGGTTGGGCTCAAGAGTTTATGCGGGTTTCCGAAATTAGGGGTACTTTCGTACCTTATTGGGGTCCTCATTACAAGGGAATCCTACTATTTGGCGTCTATTTTCGGGGGTCTCCTCTGTTCGTAAACCCCCATGTGCTTCTCGAAGCACACATCCGACCTAAGCCGATTGAGGGCCTTGGAAACCTGCTGAAGCCCTGACAGTCCAGAGCTCCAAACGTATGAAAGAAAGCCCCGACATCCTGTAAGCGTTCACGCACGTCCCCTGAATGAGCAGCCCTCAGAGCGGAATTCAATTCTAGAAAGCGCATGCGAAAGCCGAATCCGGCAAAGACAAACGCAGCCCACCGGGTCGAGAAGGGCGAGCAGCGTACAGCGCCAGGACCTTGCGGGCTTCGGACGCCTGGTTCTGGGTGTTGCCGTCGTAGTTTTCGACCTGTCAGGCTTTCGAAATCTCAAACAGAAAAAACATATACAATATGGAATTCGCTGCTCAGATTCCATCCAACAAGTCAATAAGCATAATCTCACATGGTTGTCACAGTAGACCATGGGAGGCAGGTCACACGTCGAACTCTGGCAACTCTGTGGACATCCTCCCTGAAGCAGAGCGGTAACACGAAACATTTTTTGAAAGCATTTAAAGCTTTTCATTGCACCACATGAGATCATTTCAATAAAAAACGATGGAATACATTTCCTACCCTTGTATCTCTGAACCCGGCCTCATCCTCCTGCGGGTCCGAACTCCGTGAACGTGAGGACACCTCGCGCTGGTGGGTTCTCGGGCTGAGGGATCTGCCCTTCTAGGCGTGGCCCACCGTAGCTTCAGCAGTTTTTTGTTTCCTGCGTTGCAGTGTAGAGTTTGGGGTTCAGGGTTTAGGGTTGAGGTGTAGGCTCAGGGTTCCCCCTCTCCCCCCGGTGGTCTGTGGTGGGTTTACGGTTCAGGGTTTAGAGTTAGATTGGTTAAGTTTTCGGATTTTCCTTCTCCCTTGTGTGGTTCATGGTGGGGTTAGGTTTTCGGGCTTGGGGCTCAGGGTTTAGGGGTAGTGCTTCCCACTCCCTCCTGCCTCAATTCCCAGGCCGCGCAAGAGCTCAAAGCCGTCAGTGCCTGGCCACAAAGGTGGAGTATACGTGGAGTCAACAATCAGGTTCCACGATAAAATGTGCAGGTTCTATACACATCTATCAGTCAATATACATATATATATATGGTACCCCCCCCCCCATGGACCTACCTTTTTTTTGAAACCTCGGCTTGACCGATGTTTCAAAAAAGGGTGGCTTCTCCAAAACATTGGTTTTACCAATGTTTTGGAACCCCTACCTTCAAAAAACATTGGTTTTACCGATGTTTTTTGAGCCCATGCTCACGAAACATCGCAAAAACCAATAAAAACCATAAAAACCATGATTTTCCAAACTATAGGCTTGGGGTCTCCGAGTAGTTTGAAAAATCATGGTTTTTATGGTTTTTATTGGTTTTTGCGATGTTTCCTGAGCAGGGGCTCCAAAAACATTGGTTTTACCGATGTTTTTTGAAGGTGGCCTCTCCAAAACATTGGTTTTACCAATGTTTTTGAACCCCTACCTTCAAAAAACATTGGTTTTACCGATGTTTTTTGAGCCCATGCTCACGAAACATCGCAAAAACCAATAAAAACCATAAAAACCATGATTTTCCAAACTATAGGCTTGGGGTCTCCGAGTAGTTTGAAAAATCATGGTTTTTATGGTTTTTATTGGTTTTTGCGATGTTTCCTGAGCAGGGACTCCAAAAACATTGGTTTTACCGATGTTTTTTGAAGGTGGCCTCTCCAAAACATTGGTTTTACCAATGTTTTTGAACCCCTACCTTCAAAAAACATTGGTTTTACCGATGTTTTGTGAGCCCATGCTCACGAAACATCGCAAAAACCAATAAAAACCATAAAAACCATGATTTTCCAAACTATAGGCTTGGGGTCTCCGAGTAGTTTGAAAAATCATGGTTTTTATGGTTTTTATTGGTTTTTGCGATGTTTCCTGAGCAGGGGCTCCAAAAACATTGGTTTTACCGATGTTTTTGGAAGGTGGCCTCTCCAAAACATTGGTTTTACCAATGTTTCTTGAAGGTGGCCTCTCCAAAACATTGGTTTTACCCAAGTTTTTGAACCCCTACCCATGTTTTATATAAATTTTCTTGATCTAGAGCCATAGTCATATATAATGTCGCACACCATGTGATCTGCATGTGCCACCTTTTGGTACCCAAGGCCAATCGATCTCACTGAGCCGCCATGTAGGTTTCGGAGACTTCATCGATCCACAAAAAAATGGAATCCTGCAGAGCCGTCATGCGCGTACTTTCTGCTTTCGCTATGTGCAGTGACCTGCAAGCTGCAAGACTATGACACGGAGCTTCACTCAGCTCAAATTACTGTAGTTCGTTTCCCTGATACGATAAGAGTCACCATGGCTGAGCGTGATGGTGACACCGCAGTGAGCACCGGGCTCGATGCCACTCGAGGCATGCATCTCTCGAAGCAACTGCCCTACCCAATATGGTCTGATCAGGCCCTGGGCGGCATCTCCATCATGGATCTTCCTATGACGGAGCTGGGCAATACCAACACTCTTCTCAAACACTTCGTGGATGTGATCACGAATGTGCCGCCCCCCGACAAAAACACCATTGAGTCCTTGATTAATGCTGGCAAATGGAATGAGCTTCCTCCGCCTTTCTGTCCCAAGCAGAAGCTGGACGTCAAGCTTGTCCTTCAATTTGCCGTGCTCCCACTCACAAACGGGAATGTCTGCATAGTGAAGCATGTTCAGTCACCTGATCTCAAGCTGACAAAGTCTGTCGTGGACACCCTCTGCCACGGCACGCCCCATGTGCTGAATTGGCATGGTCGCAACGCTTACGATTTCAAGAAAGCATGGCAATGGTTCTTTGAACAGCTGGGAGGGTGGCAGTGTCGCTGCTACTCCCTTTCTGCAGTTGTTCCCCATCAAGAAAAGGCTTCCAAACAAGGCTACTATCTCTCTACCCTCTCGGAGGAGGATGTGGACAAGGGCTTTGCCTTCATCGAACAAGAAGCCGGCAACCTCGCAAGTGAGTGGAAGCGAGTGCAGTGGATCACTAAAAACCTCCACGTGAACCAGGACTCGCCTATTTTTCAGTGGCCCATCTCCACGGTCGAGAAGTCCATTCGTGCCATCCAAACCGATGGTGTCCTCGCACTTCCCGTAGAAAACTTCTTCTTCACCCTGGCAGACTTGGACTACCAGATTTTGAAATTTGGCGTCAACCCCATTCTCAAAACCATGACCACACATGCCGTGGGGGTAGTTGGAGGTCCGGGAAGTGGAAAAACGCCACTCGCCAGAATCATAGCCCTGTGTGCCTCTCGTTTTTGGAAACGTGAACAAGGCATCACATCTCCACCTTCGTATCGCGAGGCCTCCGAGTTCGACTTTTTCCGGGGTCACCCAGGTCGCAAAGACCGTCCTGACATTCATGATGATGGGCGGCTTGCTGAGGAACCCATCAGAAAAATGAAAGGTTTCACCGACGTTGGTTGTACTATGTTGACCAAAGAGCGGTGGGGCGCGGCTAAGTTCGTCCAAGGGCAAATGAGAGTCTTTGTCTGCAACGACTACGACTCCACTGAATGGATTGAGAAGCATCAAAACATTCGGGCCGGCACGGTTCTGCAGATGCCCCATGAGCAATTCCTCGAAGTCGTTTCCCCAGTCTTTCCTAAGGATACCAAGCTACCACACATCATGGCAGTCTTGAAGCGTGCCAATGTCTTGGTCAACGCGGGAAACCTGGTGATCTTCAGACGTGCCAGTCAGGAAGAGAACCGGGTCCCTTGTCTTGTCTTGCAAACTCCCGTGGACTACCTGAAAACAGAGGCACAGCAGAGGTACATGCTGTATCGCGAGAACAAGCTTGTCAAACCAGCTTCCTTCGAAGATGACGTCGCTTGGGAGGCCCGCTATCTGGACGCAGTCCTTCATGACAAGGTCCTTCCACTCCCCAACCCGACTATCATCAATGATGCCCAGCATCGTCTCTTTCATGATGAACCTCGCCCACCTGCTCACAGAGACATAGAAGCCGCGGCTCCTTCCTCACTGCCTGCAGTGCCCTCGGTTCCCAAAGCGGTTGCCGTCAAGAAAGAGTCTGTGACTTTCCGAAGGGCTCTTTCCAGTTTGCAGGGACATGTCATCGATCTTGACTCGCCTCCAAAGAAGGCCTTGCGTGCCGGATATGCAGACGTGAAGACTGAGATCTCGGATGCTGCAAATGAGCCTGCCAGCCCAACATCTTTGATGGCTGCACCCGTCCCCCCCTCGAAGCCTTCCTCACCGGGCTCGATGGCTGCACCCATCTCTCCCTTGAAGCCTCCCTCGCAAGGCTCGTCTATGGACATTCATGACCCAATGGATGACCTCTCACATGAAGAAGGCCTCGAAAATCTCTCCCAGGAGCTGGCCGATATCATCGACCAACAGGAGACCGACTGAAAGGAAACCAACATCTGAGTCTGTCTTTCGGCACTTTAGCTCATGGCATTCCCCGTGTCACTCACATATCTTTTCTTATATGTGCATTCTTTATATACATAGTAACACATAGTGCACACATTTCAACATATCATGCATATATATGTATATAATACGGGGGGAATTTTGATGCCATGATGCTCTGCAGCTAGTAAGAGAAGGAGAAAACGCGTCTCACACGACATGGCCCTGCGCCCTAAACCTTCGTCTGACGTGTGTGGCAAAGCAAATGAAGGTCGTTCAACGAAAAGGTCTTTTGCAAGCAATGTTCCTGTAAATCTGGCATGCTGACAGCAGCGGTTTCGAAATCTGCATGGTTATATTTTTGAAGCAGTTTTTTTGAGATCAAGCCAGATTTCCTATAGCCAGTTGCAGTTATGGGCAAGCGCTACAACCTCTTCCCTGATCCCAAGAAGGGCAAAGGACGGATGGTCCTGAAGAAGCCTGCAGGGGTCAAGTCAGCCTCGTGGTCCAAGGTGCCTTACCAGCGTCACAAACTAGGAGGAGGTTTTCTTCGCAAGGATCAGACGAAGTGGCGTCGCAACATCCAACAACTCCTAAAGGCAACCGACAACCAAATCTTGGACATGCTCATGAAGGACAAGTTCCTGCCGAACTGGGAGGGTTGTGTATGTCCTTTCTGCAACAAAGGTGTGCTGGGTCCATTGTCTGATAGGCCTTCAAGGGACACCAAGGCCTACAGGTGCAACAAGAAGAACTGCCAGAAGTACGTCTCTCCGGCTCATCTGCATCCCCTCTTCACAGTCCTTCGTGGTCCAGAAGGGCACAGCCTCCAAGTGCAAGCTACTGCACTCCTCCTTCGCCTCGCTGGAGTTCCTCTGGCCACCATCCATCTGCTCACGAACATAAATCACAAAGCAATTGAGAGGCTCAACAGCAATCTCAATTTCCTCCGGAGTGGCCACGTCACACAGGTTGAGAAAACCATCAAGTTTGGGGGCGCCCCCAAGGCTTGGAGAGACGTGGAGGTGGATGAGGCTTGCTTCGACAAGCGGACTCTGAAGCCGTGGGAGCAAACAGAGAAGGATGCCCAGCAAGGCAAGAACACTGAGTGGGAACAGTGGGGAGGTTTAGTCCAGCGAGGATGTCCCAAGAGCTTGGTCCTATTCAAACTTCGCCCTGCCATCACAGTACCCAGAGCACCGGGGCCAGGTGCTATTCGCAAGGTAGACTGGACTCCAGTGGCCCAGAAGTGGCTCAAGAACAGGCGTGTCATCTTGCACTCGGATTCGGCCCGGTCATATCGCAGCAAGGTGGATGGAATGCTGCACGATGCAGTCGTCCACAAGAAACGCAGGGTCAAAAAGGGCAACAAATGGGTGTGGGTCAAGCCTGTGTATGTGAAGATTTCCACTCACAAGCTTCCGGATGGCACCGTCATCAAGACCAAGGGGGGCACCCAAATCATCGACCGTGCCTGGCGTTTTATCAAAGACCGTCTCCGATTAAACCAGCATGGCAAGGCATCCTCCAAGCAGCTGGCAGCCCAGATCCGTAGTGCACAGTACGAGTACTGGCACCGCAACGAGGATCTGTGGGTATGCACAGGCCAGCTCTTGGATGAGTACATGCGAAGCATTGTCACCAAGCCTGAGTGCTAGAGGATCAGCAAGACTGGGGTCGCTGCTTCTAGCATACTAACACCGCCTCGCCTGAAACCAAGACCATCTGATGTTTGCTAAGCACTCCCACGTCTCTGTGGAGCTTCGCCCTCGCTGTAAAACAGATCTGCCGTCACATCTTTTGCATGCTTTGCTCACAGCATCCAATTCCCAAGTCATCTCTCTGCCCGGGGCATCTGGCTCAGACACATGCCACACACACACACCAACAAAATTCGGACACCTGCCAACCACACACCAGCAAAACAAAGGAAATTGGTAGGTCCATGGGGGGGGGGGTAGCATATATATATAAACACGCAGAGACGCACACACGCGCGCGCACACACACACTTACTTTTACTTCACTTGTATGTATGGGTACGTATTTTCGTGCATGAATAGATGCCTCGCCATGTATTTGTATGTGCTTTCAATAAGTTGGCCTTGGCCTCATCGCGAGGGCATATGGGAACTGAAGTAACAGGTGCATTGCACTCTGCCAGGGCTTGTGAAACTTCCAATAGGTCCTAGGTGCATACGCAGTGCAGTATGCACTGACATTTTCAATTTTGGGACAGTTATTCCCCAATGACATGCATCTTTAGGTGAGCCTCGATCGACAAATCTTCCCCGCCTTCCTATTCCCTGCAAGGCCTTTAAACCAAACGACATCTTGCATCACCTTGCCTTCCGACCAACCCTAAGGTTTTTTTAAACTACGGGTGGGTAAATCCTGTATATATATATATGTATATATGTATGTATGTATGCAAACCTTACGCCTCGAAGACGTTGAAACCAGTGAAGAACCAACGAGAGGACCCTCACCTCATGATTTGCTTTTCTCACATCAACCACATCTCCAGCCTAGTTTTTCGCGGTTGACGAAGTACGCCTCGAACTCCTGCCAACTGCGCGTAGCTAACTTCGCCTAACAGCTCTGATCAAACCTGCCATGACCTTGACATGCCTTTAACCCTCATTCTCCTCACAGGCAAGTAGCCTCGAAGGCTGCATCATGAAGGGGGTTTAGGGCTGCTATAAGGGCTTTGAAGGTGCGTGTATGCAGGTTGCCGGACTTGGGGAGCAAGGGAAGGGGTGTGTTAGCTGAAGATAGGGCTGCTTCAGACTGAGATGAAGGTTCAGACTTGGGGGTTTTCCCTTGGGCGCAGAATCAATCCGCAGGTCCTCTAACCCCAGCTCTCCACAATCTCTGAGTCCCAGTCCCTCCATCGAAAACTCTGCGGGTTCTAGTTCTGCGGTTTTAACTGCCATGAGCCCCCCAACACACAGAAGCGCCGGCCCCTGAGCTATCAAGCACAGGCCTCATAGGAGATGCCCTCCTCAACATTGATGTGCGAGGAATTGTCAAAGTGCGCCATGTTGGCCTGCACTTTTGACCCTCCTACAGTTTGTTTAGGGTTTAGGGTTTAGGGTTTAGGGTTTAGGGTTTAGGGTTTGGGGTTTAGGGTTTAGGGTTTAGGGTTTAGGGTTACAGGTTTCAGGTTTCAGGTTCCTGTGTTTATGCCAAGCCCTTGGTTGCAAACACTCCCTACCTGATGGCGACATCTGTTGCAGCCCGACTCAGCTGCCGGCGTCTTGCCGCTGGTAGTCGTAGTCGAAGTACTTCCTTGGTGTCCATGCAACCGCCTTTGCTATGCAGAGTGTGGCTCAGGCAAGGCTGGGCATCCACAAATGCCCGTAGCCGAAAACCTATGCTGTGGGAAGATCAAGCGCCATGAGCAAACTACGCAGCTCCGATCTCCAGAAATGTCGGAAAAAAGCAGGCTTCCTGGGGCTGCTAGGGAGTCAAAGCTTAGCTCACTCAAAGGCTGGCGAGTCTCAAAGATCGACTCTGAAAAATCGCGTTGAGGATGTAGGCCTGGGTCCAGCCCAAGAAGCTTCGTCAAAAACGCTTCCAGACGCCTTTACCTCCCATGATTTTTCTTCATGTCTGCCTTGCTTTCTCAACCCACAATACAACATGCACAGCATAGACTGGCGTGTGTTCTGGTGGACCCTTCCAAGCAAAAATCCAATCCCCAAACCTCCTCAGCAGACACAAACGAAACGCCGAACACGGCGATTGAACGGCGCATCTGCATTTGATCGTGCAGGGAATTGTGTTCGTACCCTAGGTAGCTAGGTGTTTCACGTTTTTGTTTGGCTGCAGGTTGCCTTTCTCCATTGCCTGTCTTGAGGCTGCCAGATCTACTGACCCCTTTCAAGGTGAGTGGTATAAACCCGCCAATACTTATAATTGGGTTTCAAGAAATTCCTTCACGGCTAGGGGGCGGGATCACCTGTGAGCTCGGTAGGGGCGCGGCCGGGGCCGTGCCTGGCGTGCGCAAGAACATCCCCAGCCATTCCTCGGTGGCTCGCACAAACCCCTGATTCGGACGGATGAAACATCTTTGGCTGTGTACTAGAAGGCTCTGCCAGCAACTATCTTCAAAATGCACACAGAGGAAACCCTTCACCCTGGGGCTTCAGAGTGTTTGGGATGCAGGGTGTGGGGCTCGCTTGCATTGAGGCTGAATCTGGGGGGGTGTCAAGCCTTGGACAGTGGACGCACAACCCTATTGTTAATACATAACTTAATATAACAAACAACCACCCTGCAAACACCAGGCTCTGAACCCTCAAATGGAATCTGGCGCTGAATCCTGACAAGCCACCACCAACCCTGACACCCAAACCCCAAGCGAAGCCGTCTGCGAACTGCTGCGCTACGACTGTGAAGACAAGCGGCTACCGGCAGCAAGCACCCTTTGACCGCCTGTCGAAGTGCTCTGCGTCAACAGCCACTCATCAGCAGAACATCTTGAAACATGCTGCGCAGAATAGGCCCGAAACTCCAAAAGAAACGGATACTTCTGCCACGGCTTCCTGAACTCTGAGGCCCTTTTGACCTTAGGAGAAAAGAAGGGCTGCGTGAATGTACAGCAGGGTTTGTGTTAGGGTTCCAAGACCTCCAGGCTCCACCCTGCTTTCTGCAGCGATGCGCCTCGCGCGATGCCTGCGTGAGTCCCTCTGCCACGGCCGAGATTGTCACCTGCGCGGCGGGTGACAATGATGTCTTGCCGGGTTCAGGGTTCCAACCCCACACGAGCACAAGCAGGAGGTTCAGGGTGCTCCTCTCAACCTTGTAGTTCCTGCTGGGGCAATGCTTGGCTTCGCCCCGTGCGCCGGGAGTTCATTTGAAGCTGACCTAGCTTTGGGAAACAACGGCCACGTGCGGATTATTGGCCGAGACAGAGTGGCCGCCACTGTATGAATAGCATGCAGGCCTATCAACTGTCTCTATCTGCGTTCGACTTCGATTCATTTCGACATGGGCTAGGCGCAGCTTCGCTTTTTCTGCCACGCAGCATCACAGTCTTTTTGCTGCCCCGACTGGTCATCCCCATCTTGGGGGGTTGCTGCGGAGACTTCGTGTGTAAAAGGAGGGAAGGAGGATGCTGCAAGGGGTCGATTGGGGCACGGGAGTTAAGCTAGGTGTTGAGGGGGGGGGGGGGGCGGGCCGAAGATTTGAAGTCAAGCCATGGACTTCAGCCGACTCTCCGGGCCATCACAGAGCAGTCAAAGACTCCAAGATCTGCACCAAGTCCGCGGGAAGCGGAGCTTCCGCGACGAAGGTGCTTCCCGCAGCATCCTTCAGTTGCAAGATCCGGGGGCTGGCTTGGGACCTGGCCTCTGATGCCTCTGGGGCATTGTAGCTGCCATTGCCTTTGCCGACCGTTCTTTGGGGAAAACACAGGAGGAACTAGGGGGCACTAGGGAGCTAGACCCTACTACTTGGTCGGGTGGGGGTCGCGGGAAAGGCTTTCCTAAACCTCCCTAAATCCTGCATCGTGCTGATGCGTGTGGGCGAGCGTCGCGCAGCTGCACCCGGGAGCAGTGCAGGAAGAGGCGGTGTGTGGGAAGAGCCGTGGCGCCGCGTCGGCCGTAGCCTCGGCTATGTTCGTGCTATCTTGCATCGTGCCTGCTACGTCCCTACGTGCGGCTTTGGGATCATTTGATTGGCTTACAGTTTGGTGGGGGTCCTTTGACCCCTGAATGTAGGAACCTCAAGCTCCCAAACCAGGAGCACAACTACTGCAGTAACGAGAAACAAGCTTGAAGCTAGCGACAACACCCACGGCCCTGAAGCCAAGCCCACATCTCTGGCAAGCAGGGTAACTACCTCCGCAGCCTTCTTTTGGCAGAAGAAGGTTCACGACCTGGTAGCTAAAGGATCACAACGACCTCACGATGTATAAGGTTGTAACCACCGACCACTGTAGTGTTTACCCTTCTCAGAACCTCATCCCTAAACCCTAAACCCTAAACCCAAGTGTAAGTCATCCCCTCAAGACCAGTTGCTTAGGTCGCCCAAGATTGGCCGACCGAGACTCGCGAAGTGGACCTCGGCACACAGGTTCAGGGTATAACTTACGATGTGACCGATGTGGGATGGCTTATAAGGCTTGCAGGGGCCAGGCCAGCAGTTGTCCCAAAAAAGATACCCCGACATGAATGTGCCCATCAGATGCCAGAATCTGCATCTACCGACTTCGTGTTGGACCCTCCTTATTGCACCCAGTTGGCTACGCATTGCGTCAAGTGACCCAATCCAAAGTCAAGGTTGTCTTGCCGTCATATCCTTCATTTACGATCCCGGGACGTTGCAGGGGCTCGTGCTTTGTTCCTTCATAGTGCCTCACAACGAATAGGTCGCCCGAGGCACCCGGATCTGGTGAGTTCGACCTGTGAGAGGGCGAGCGCTGAGGAACATCAGCTCCTGCGACGCGTGGCAGGGCCAGGTCAGGCGAGAGCTTAAACTCAGATACACATGTATAAATAAATAAATACATAGCTAAATAAATAATTCAAATACATATATATATATATATATATTATGATGAGTAATATTCGTACGATGCTTTATTCATATATATATATATGTACATATATATATATGTGTGTATGTATATGTATGTATGCATTTATCTATCTCTCTATCTATCGCAGTAGGGGTACCACTACTGGATCGCATGAGTTTCCTCACACTACCAAGCAGTCGAGGATCTCTCTTCGAAAGTCCACCATGCTAAAACTCATGACACTGATGAGCAGCAAAAACGTGACCACGCCACATATTCGCGAAACGCATGGGTTTACGAGATGCGGTTCATCAACACCATCGACACACGGTGTGCTGCCCCAGCTTAGCCCTAACCTGCTCCATGGCCCCTTCCGGAACACACACATAAACAAAGAATAATCAGAAAAACAAAATAACTGGCATGTCAGACTCAGTTCTCAGACCAGGCCTCATAGTATCCTCAAAGTCGAGCCATTGGTCTTCAACTGGCTTCAACCCTGGTGAACCTCAACCCTACTCCAAAACCTTAAACCTACCCGAAACCCCAAACCACAAACTCCCAGCTCCTCGCCCGGGTGTCCCTCAGAGCGGTACCTGGCCCGACCAAGGCATCATGATCACAGGCTCTTGGGTTTTAGGGACCCACACGTGATGGCACGAATAACAGAAGTAATATTCAGAACCCGTCATACGAAGAACCAAGCTCGCCAGGGAAGGGCGCGATGTGGATGACCAGGATAAGGGCTTAGGCACTTGGGGATTTTGGCGAGTGGTTTCTCTCGTCATGCCATAAACCTGCCACACGCAATGTGCCTTAGGTCAGACATCAAAAAGCGCATCGGCTGAGCTCCAATTAACCCTTCAAGCTCATCAACAGCTGGATGTCTGACAATAACAAGAAGAAGAATAAGAAAAAACAAGAAAAGGAAAAATAATAAGAATAAGAATAAGAATAAGAAGAAGAAGAAGAATAAGAATAAGAATAAGAATAATAATAAGAACAAGAATAAGAATAGGGGTGCCTCTGCAGCACCGTGTACTCAGTGAGCGCGTGGCGTCCACGTAGCAAGTCCACCTGGGATCTTTCTTCTGAGCTAGGAAATGGATCGCTAGGAGCTGCCCATAAGCCTTCCCACCCCAACCCTGCCACAAGGACTGTGCGAGGTACTCATGAGCGACAGTGTTCCCCCTCGACGTCTTTCAAAGCTACATCGAGGTCAATGAGAAGCCCTGCGAATAGAGTCATTCACCAGTCTGACTCCGTGCACATTTCGGCCTAAGCCTTGCGTCAAGAGTCAAAAAACCCCAACGCCATACAACCCAGCACTTGTTTGAACCTGTGCTATGCAACCCAGCACTGGGACCCCAAATCCTGACGCCTCAAGTGTGTCGCGCCATCCACACAGTTTGCTTTGGTGTTTCGGGATTTTGCTCTCCCGCACAGCTGGTAAATCGCATCCCTCGAGCCCGAAGCGGTGGAGGTCCGAACCAGCAAGCCCCTGAACAAAACCACTCTAACCGTCCAGGTTGCTTGTGTGCGCGCGCCACCCTGCTGGAGCTCATCCGTGAGGAGTGGCTTGTTCACCTGCTAGGCTGGGGTTAGGGGGAGGATTTCAAGGGTAAAGGCGTAGAGGGAGTGACAAGATCTGCCGCATGCCTTCTTTTTAGGGTTGAGGATTTCGGGCTTAATGTTGATCACGAGCAAGGCTCGGCGGAGAATATAGGTTTGAAGATTTCAGGTTTGGGAAGGAGGCGATTGTCTTCACCACGAACCCAACTGGCTGAAGTGGTACTAAAGGCTGGCTACTCACTGAAGGGTTGAGGGCCGTTTAGGGTTCATGGCCAAAGCCATAGCAACAAGACTGAATTTTAGTACACAGAACCTTAAGGAGTGGAGGGGCCCCTCTTAGATAGAGGGACCGATGCTCTTTCCCTGCAGCTCGCCTGCCCCGTCGTCCCACTGTCCCCCAAAGTGGGCCCTTCGCACAGGCAGCGGTACTCCTGGCAAGGACACTCGATTCTTCAACCCACGCAGTGGTTTGCAAGAAGAGCATGGTACGTAGGCCAACGAAAGCCTTCATCGAGTCGTTCAGCGTAAAGGCTTGCAGGTTTCGGGGTATAATAACTGACATCTGCAATCCGAAGCCCTGCAGTATTACCAGCATGTCTCCCCTAACGGATATGCCCTTGCATGCCTTTCGCACCAGCCGCGCTGCGAACTGTGCCTGCAACCACTGCGCGGTGCTGGATCCTGCGTTGAGCTTTTGTTGACAGTCGCTTTTGTCTGAGAGAGAAAAAAAAACGACGGAGAAGAAACTAAAACTCCCAGTAGAAACAATTACCTTGAGGCCCCGTTTCGGCTTCTGGCCGCACGCATCAATCCCTAGGCCGACCAGTGCCTCGTCATGAGCCGGGTCTCAGGGATGCATGATTCAATGATCGGTAGGGTTTTTTTTTGGCACCCGACTAGCCACAGCAATGCGGGGTTTAAAGGTCGGTCTCGAAAAAGGCAAAAACACATCTTCTCAGGGTTTAGGGTTTAATCGCTCACACTCGGACAAGCCAGGCGAGGCACACAGGTTCCAGGTTTAGGGTTTAGGGTTTAGGGTTAAGGGTTAAGGGTTTAGGGTGGGAACTCTTCAGGCCGCTTCAGGCCTTCTGCCGCAAGGCAGATGGGAAGCACTCCGGAGGTGGGGTGGTCCAAGCGCGACAGGACGCCCAAGCTGCCCGCGCGAACCTGGGTCTGCCAGGCTTCAAGGATCCCTAAACCCTAAACCCTAAACCCGCACCCTAAACCCTATAAGGTGGTCCCGGTGAGCCTTCCTGAAGCTTCGGAAGGCTTTATGACACAAAGCCTTAAGGGAATCTAGGGGCCATCTGAGGAAGGGAACCTTCGGGGTGCAACCTTGCGGGGGGGCGCCCTTTCACCGTTTGTTGTTTAGAATATACTTATGTGGGGCGGGGTAGAATAAAGTAGCCTAAACCTAAACCAGTAAACCCAAAACCCGAAACACTAAGCGCTTCCAAGTGCTGTCTACAAAATCTAAGCCGCGGGGCACCCAGCTTCGCTGCCAGATCCGCCAGCACTGACTGGGTGGAGATATCCTTGCACTTAGGTTCTATTTTTGTGCTACCCGTCTCGCGTCTGCTCCGGAGGCCTACTGTTTAGCTGAACAAAGTCCGTAATCCAAATGAAGCAAAAGTTTAGGACCTGGGTCAGCTTAAGGGAGCCGGAGAACTCATGAAAAAGGGAGGCGAACAGATAGGCAGAAGTTCTCCAGCATCACACCATGCTACCCAGGAAGTGCTACTGCCGACTATCCTCCTGATATAGGTGGATTCAGACGCCCTGTACTCTTGCATAGGTCAGTACGGATGGGTCGCGGGCTATCGTGCAAGCATGCAAGCAATTCGCGTTTAGATTGGTTTACATTGTGGATGACATCATGATCAGGCTAGACGAGTCAGAAGCATGTCATCGATCATCACATGAGTAAGCGTTGCGGAAAAAGGATCATGACTAGGCCTGAAAGATCACAAGTATGTCATCATCACGCCAGATGCGTCCGCTTTGTGAAAAAATGAAGCCTCATTCTAACGTACATGACGTCTTGAAGATACGGAAATATGTCATCATCACACCGCATGATAGTGGGTGCAAATCTGGGGGGAAAATAGCTGAGGGCATATGGCGCAATGTAAAGTATTCAACTTTGTGTTCATGAATGCACAGCCAAAAATGCGTCACCAAAAAGAATCAAAGGTGAGCCAAGAAGAGGAGTCTCTTTTTGAAACCCGAAAAAACGACTGAACCTTGGGTGCACATCTCGCGAGACTTCTTCAGGAGGTGAAGCTGGACTATGCCCCAGAAATAACAGATTATTGGGACAGTCATCAAGTGCGTTTGTAGACATCCAAATCACCCCAGCATCTGTAACCTGTGCGAATCTGAAGCTGTGCTATTTTCGAACACAGCCCTGTGTCTGTACTGTCTCGCCATGAGCACGGGCCCCTTCGCTCACGCTTTGCGCTGGCCTCGACCCACACATGCACATGGACAAATGCGCCTCAATTGAACCTGCTGATGTGCTACAACTTGACAGATATGCAACGCAAGAAGTGTTCTGATACAAAGCATTCTATAGTGTATTCCCCTGTATACCCTATAGACCTTATCGAAGACCCCTCTTTAGGGGGTATCCTATAAAGTAATCACAGGGTATTCCAGATGGTATTTGATAAGTTGTGGGGAGGGCATAACGGTCATATTATATACAGTATTCTATAATGTATTCTGTAGGGTAATCTTTGAGCATTCCATCAAGCATTATACATCTTTCCTATCGAATGCAAAGACTTCATGTGATAGAACAAGCGCAACAATCAGCAGCCAGGGTGGTCAATAGGGGGCTAGCATATGCATGAATTTACTATATATATATGGTCGCCCCCCCCCCCCCCCCCCCCCCCCCCCCCAAGATCCACCCCTAAGGTTTCATACTCGTCTCACTCCATCCATGTCTATACTCTTTGTTATACATGCAGATGCCGAAAACGCTGCAAATACCGAGGGTTTTCCTCTTAAAACGATAGTTTCAGACTTCTTTGTTGCAACGATGCGTACATGCAGATGCCAAAAATGGACTACCAGGATCCGGTGGTTGGTTTCTGGTGTTACCGAGTTCTTATGGCGATGTGTGTGTGTGTGTGTGAGTGTGTGTGTGTGTGGTGTATGTGTGTCTGCGATGTGCGAATATGGCTTGCCTGAAACCCATGAAATAGGGACAGTACAGCACTTTCGCCTCTTCGGACTGCAAAAGTGCTGTACTGTCCCTATTTTTTGCTTGCCTGGAGACGAGAAAATAGGGACAGTACAGCACTTTCGCCTCTTCGGACTGCAAAAGTGCTGTACTGTCCCTATTTTTTGCTTGCAGGTACCAATAAAGTGCTGTACTGTCCCTAAAAAACCTAAAAAACCAATCTTTCCAGCACTACCAGCCCTGGAGCCCCCGGTAGTTCCCAAAAGATTGGTTTTTTAGGTTTTTTAGGGACAGTACGGCATTTTATTGGTACCTGGAAGCAAAAAATAGGGACAGTACAGCACTTTCGCCTCTTCGGACTGCAGAAGTGCTGTGCTGTCCCTATTTTTTGCTTGCCTGGAGACGAGAAAATAGGGACAGGACAGCACTTTCGCCTCTTCGGACTGCAAAAGTGCTGTACTGTCCCTATTTTTTTGCTTGCCTGGAGACGAGAAAATAGGGACAGTACAGCACTTTCGCCTCTTCGGACTGCAAAAGTGCTGTACTGTCCCTATTTTTTGCTTGCAGGTACCAATAAAGTGCTGTACTGTCCCTAAAAAACCTAAAAAACCAATCTTTCCAGCACTACCAGCCCTGGAGCCCCCGGTAGTTCCCAAAAGATTGGTTTTTTAGGTTTTTTAGGGACAGTACGGCACTTTATTGGTACCTGGAAGCAAAAAATAGGGACAGTACAGCACTTTCGCCTCTGGAGACTGCAGAAGTGCTGTACTGTCCCTATTTTTTGCTTGCCTGGAGACGAGAAAATAGGGACAGTACAGCACTTTCGCCTCTGCGGACTGCAAAAGTGCTGTACTGTCCCTATTTTGGCCTGCAGATAGTCAACGGGTGGCTATGAAGGGAGGCTGAGGCTGGAAGCTGCGGCAGAGTACTTCATGCGAGTGATGTTTTGCAGTATTGCACATGCAAACAACATGCAAGGTCCTTGCTGTTTTGCGTTCGCGACGAGACGTGCGATGAGAGCGCTCAAAATCATCGCAAGGGAGCGGTCTTTCAGTTGATCTGAAAGAGAGAGTGGATCATTCGACCTGTGGCCTTCCACATGTTCGAATTGCGGTTCCAGTACGTAAACTGGGCCGACCGGATCTTCCGGACGAGTTGCTGGCTACCTGGGACTCGGGATGAGTTCTTTAAGACGGTCCTCAAAGTGCCCCAGAAACGGTCAATGACTTGCGTCCCGCTTTTCACCTTCAGCCGTCGGCGGTCTGGAAGTTTGATGGTGTAAACCTTCGTGTAGTGGGGCTTGACCCACTGTGCCTGATGGAGAAGACAAGGGACCAAACGATTCATGGATGCAACTGAAAGGACATGTATTGAATCAATAGTAAAAATGGTGAGCACCGAGCCTTGCCGTTGACGGTAACCTTCTTTTTCTTGTGGACGACGTTACAATGCTTCACTTGCGGGATCTTGAGAGTGTAGGCACGGGCGCCGTCGCTGTGCAAGACCACCTTGCGGTTGGCGAGGTGTTTTTTAGCAATAACAGCCCAGTCCACCTTCTTGATTGGGCCAGGACCCGGCGCCCGCTTTGTGGTGAGCTTCGGGTTCAAGCGAAACAAGCACAACGACGATGGACAGCCTCTCTGAACTAGTCCGCCCCACTGTTCCCACTTCGTGTTGCGTGGGCCTAAGGACTCGTCCGTGAGCTTGCCCAGATCGACTTCATCTACCTCTACATCCTCCCAATTGCCACCGTAGGTGATCTTCTTCTCCTGCTGGACGACGTACTGAGCACGGGCGACGTCTAGGTTGGTGTAGATGCGCTCCACGGGCTTGTGGTCCATGTCAAGGATCAAGTGGGTAGACTGGCAGGGGCAATACAGCGCTGCAGCCTGTTTGCCAAGCGACGTTGACGAGTTCCCAGCAGACATGAAGAAGACGGGATGGTAGTCGTGCGGCTGCAAGAACTTGTGGCAGTGCTTGTGATTGCATCGGTAGGCCCAGATCTTCTTAGCCTTGACGTAGTTGAGTGTCCCGAGAACGCCTTTGGCACAGCGAGGGCACTGGCGACCCTGCCAGCTGGGCAAGATTTTGTCCTTCTGAAGGTGTGTGATCAGTCGGCGGCCTTTCAGTGACATGAAGTGCTGTATGGACTCCCCCCATCGCTGGCGAAACCCTTTGTTTTTGGCCGATAGGATGCCGTGGCGAACATATGGCACGGGAACATAGTTCTTGGAAGCGGGGCGTCGCTGGACGCGATGCTTTCCTCGCTTGGGAGCAGGGAAAAGAGGCTTTGCCTTCATGGCTTTCATGACCGCCTTGGGCATGATGACAAGAGTTCTTGTGAAACGGTTCCTTGATGCTGCAAGGCTACTTGACAAATTGCCACCAAATCAACACGGAGAGAAGGCAAGGGACGTGTGCTGCACGCAACATGTTTGGCATCAGAAGTGTGGGCGTTTTGAGCCTGCGATCGAGCTTGTGGTGAGAAGTAGCCTGTGAACAAAACAGCTACTCTTTGGATGCCGGGACTCAAAACTAGGCACGTAGCATAGCTATTGTGCGAACTGCGATCAGTAGGACTCAGTAGGAGAGGGCTGCAGTCATCGTGCTCGTGAGGCTCACTCTGACGGCATGTTGTCCACGAAGTCATCGAGCTGTTGTGAGAAGGTCCTGCCGAGGTTCTCTGCTTCAAGATCGTGTTCGTCCGGAAGATTCTTCATTGGATCCTCTTGAGAAGTGTTGGAGGCAACATCCATCTCATCATTCGTGAAGTCCACTGCAGAAGTTCCTGCCTCTGCATGTGTGTTTGGCGACGGCAAGAATCCATCAGCGGTGGAATCCGGATGGGGCGGGGACTGCTTGATCTCGGCGTGGAGAGGCGACGACGTCTGTTTCGTGTCCTCCTTCTCTGATGAGCTGGAGAGATTGATTTGCAACGTGCGGCTGCCGAGTTTCTTCTTGAAGGCGATGGACTTCTGCAAGGCGTCCGTGGGCTCTTGCTTCACACGCACCTCATACAAAACGGAAGAAGCGTTTTTTAAATGTTTGGCGTAAGCTGGTTTAGGCTGTGATGTGGCATGTGATAGGCACAAGTTATGTTTTGAAGCTGTTCATGTTTCGACGAGCCCTAAACCCTCCCTTTAGACTGAGCAAGGGGCCGGCATGAAAGTGTCGGTAGAAGACGACGACCTTACCGTGTCCTTGTCCTTTGCCACGAACGATGCTGCAGATGCGGTTGTTGGTGCAGCATTGGAAGATGCGAGCAGGGAGCTGGACGATTTCACAGACCGGAGCTTCTTTGTGGGTGGTTGAGTTGACTCAGGGATGTCCTCGAAGTAGTGAGTG